CGCCCCCGGGCCCTCTAACGGGCGCGCCTCCGCAGCGACAGCGACGAGGTGGACCGCATCAGCGAGTGGAAGCGCCGGGACGAGGAGCGAAGGCGGGAGCTGGAGGCCAGGCGGCGCCGGGAGCAGGAGGAGGAGCTGCGGCGGCTCCGCGAGCAGGAGAAGGAGGAGAAGGAGCGGCGGCGGGAGCGCGAGCGCGGGGAGGCCCCCGCCGGGGCCAGCGGGGGCAGCAGCGGGGACGAGCCGGGCGACGAGGACGAGCCCGTGAGGAAGCGCGGCCGCAAGGGCCGGGGGCGGGGGCCGCAGTCCTCGTCCGACTCGGGGCCCGAGGCCGAGCCGCAGCGAGAGGTGCGTCCTGCTGGCGCGGATGCGGCGCTACCCGCTAACCGGGAGCACGGGCCCGGCGGGTCCCTTCCCGCCGCCCGCCGCCCGCCGCCGGGTCGGCGCCGGTGGGGGTGGGGGTGGGGGTGAAGCGGTGAACGAGACACAGAGACACCTGCGCCGTGGAGGAGCCGGGGTTCGCGCGAGGGGGCCAGACAGGGGACAACGTGAGGTGCGTTCCAGCACGTTGGGTGCGAAAGACAAGAAGGCAGGTCAAGGGGCATGAGCTGTCGGGTGGGCTTTTCAGTTTTAGGTGGGGTCAACCCTACAGGCTTTAGCTGAGAAGATGCCGTGTGCCGTGAAGTAAGGATCTGAATGGAGTGAGAGGTGGTCTGGGAAGGAATCTGGGGAAACAGCACGCTGGGCTGAGAGCACAGTCTGTGCAAAGGCCCTGGGGCAGGACCAGGCCTGGTGTGTTGGAGCAACAACCAGGGGGCCCATGTGGGTAGAATGGAGAGGTGGAGGGGGGAGAAAGAGGAGAGGGGATGGGGCAGGTCTTCCCGGGCCTTGGGGTCTCAGGGAGGACTTGGGCTTTTCCTCCAGGGAGGTGGGAGCCCTGAAGGGCTGTGGGCCGAGGAGGGGAGACTTGACTCCTGTGTTCACAGGTGCCCTCTGGGTGCTGAGGGGGGCAGGACTCTGGGATGAGTGGGGAGCAGATAGGCCTCTGTGAGCATGAGGGGTGACCCACAGGCCCAGGGCAGTCCTGCAGGCTCGTCAACACCCCACTTTCCTGGCACTCGCAATCTGCCTGGATCTGAGCCTCACTTCCAGGCCTGTCACCTTCTAGACCGAGCCCACGGGACAGAGGACGACCTTACTCTCTCCCTGTTTTCCCTCGGTCACAAAAAAGGGCCCAAGATCCCTGCCCCAGGAAGTGCGGATCGTGGGGCCGCCCCTCGCGTTGAGTGAGTGGTCCTTGTAGGGCCTGAGACGCTGTCACCTGGGGCACGTGCTGGACCCAGGGGTCGTTCTTCCCGTCCTGCCCCGTCCGCCAGTTCCCAACAGTGCAGTGGTGGCAGGGGGTGGCAGGCTGAACCTCTAAAGGGAGCGCCCGCTGCCCGCCACAGCCCTGTCCCTCTCTGGACGCTGCAGGCAAAGAAGGCGGCCAGACAGTCACAGAGCACAGAGCCCTCGAGGAGACCCAGCCAGAAGGAGAAGAGAGGGCGCCCCGAGGAGAGGCCCCGAGCCAGGTCGGACCCGCTGTGCCTCTCCTCCCGCGGCTACCTGGGGGCCCACCTGCCCCGTTCTGGTCCCTGCGGCTCCCGGCCTCCTGGGGATCCGTCCCCCCTCACCCCGTACAGGAGGGACCCGACTTCCGAAATCAGTCTTGGAGATAGATCCAAGCCAAGTGGGGCCCCGTCAGTAGGAACCACTGCTCCAGACTGAGGCTCTGCCCCCAGTGGACACCACCCCACCTATCTGGTTGTCACGCTGGGGGTGTTCCTGGCATTGAGGGGGTGGGGCCAGCATGTTGCCCAGCCCCCCCACAGGGCCCGGATGTTCCTCAGAGAGCGACCCGCCCCTTGTCAGCAGTGCTGAGGGGGGGACCCTGTCCCCCAGACCACTGGTCCTCAGACTGGAAAGCCAAGCTGGGGGGGATACAGCCCATCCCCCTGCCCGCTTGCTAAGCGGGAATCCAGCATCAGCGAATGAACCTTCCCGATGGGAGTTTGGCGGCTGCCTAGACCAGGTCCCAATGGGCCCTGATCCCTCCTCCTCCCCGACCACGCACACAGAGGCCCCCGGGGGCAGGAGGGCCATGGCAGGGCAGGGGGGCTACGCGGCAGGCGAGGGTAGGGCTAAGGAGTGTGACTCCACAGGCCCCCCAAGGTGGAGCGGACCCGGAAGCGGTCAGAAGGGTTCCTGCCCGACCGGAAGGTGGAGAAGAAGAAAGGTGAGGAGGGTGGGCCACCAGGGCAGGTCCTCTGCTCCCGTGCACGTGCACGGGGCGAGGAAGCTGGTCGGGTGGCGGGACCGGGCCAGGGTGGCTTCTGCGGCTGCAGTCACGCGCAGGTGCTGCGTTCTCTCCTGGCCGCAGAACCTTCCGTGGAGGAAAAGTTGCAGAAGCTGCACAGCGAGATCAAGTTCGCCCTGAAAGTCGACAATCCGGTGAGACCCTCCTCGGGGCGCGGAGGTTCCTCCAGGCCAGGCAGTCCCCCAGCCCCTCGTGTGTGGAGCCCCTGAGAAGTTCTGGGAAACTGAGGCAAACCCTGGGTCTTGGTTCACCTGGCATCCCCCAGCAGGGGGCGCCACCCGGGGTGTGCTGCTTGGTGTCCCCACAGGTGGCACCGAGCGGTCCTCCAGGTTCTGGGTCTCAACCACCACCTCTGGGGGTCCCTGTCGCTCCGCCTGCCCCCCAGGGCACTCCCTAGGGTCCCCTCAGCTAGGTGCCGCCCCTCCTCTCCCCACCCTGCAGGATGTGAAGAGGTGTCTGAATGCGCTGGAGGAGCTGGGGACCCTGCAGGTGACCTCACAGATCCTCCAGAAGAACACAGATGTGGTGGCCACACTGAAGAAGGTGCGGTGGGATCCTAGCAGCGGAAGGGCCTGGTGGCCGGCGGGGGTAGGGGTCCTGAGGGACACGGCCGGGGAGGGGGCGGCCTGGGAGGCGGGGCTCGGGCGGGGGGGGGGGAGGGGCGAGACCCACTGCGTCTCCTGAACGGGCCTCTTGTGGGTCAGATCCGCCGTTATAAGGCCAACAAGGAGGTGATGGAGAAGGCCGCAGAGGTCTACACCCGGCTCAAGTCTCGGGTCCTGGGACCAAAGATCGAGGCCATCCAGAAGGCGACCAGAACTGGGACGGAGAAGGAGAGGGTCGAGGTGGAGAAGGCAGAGGAGGCGCTGGCTGGAGAGGAGGCCCCCACGGAGAGGGCGGAGGATGAGCTGAGCGCTGGTGAGGAGCAGGGCGGGAGCCCTCGTAGACCCTCAGAGCCAGACAGCACGGGAAGCCGTGCGTGCGTGGGGGCCGCGTGTGGGAGCGTCGCGGGACAGGCTGGCTGGACCTGGGAGGGCCAGGGGTGGGCTGAGAGGAGAAAGAGGGTGTTTCCCGAAGGGACAGTGGTGCTGGGTCCCTCAGCGACAAAGGGGCTGTCGCGCTGTCCTTCCCGCTAGGGTTACGTGGTGCTGATGGGGGCTGCGGAGAGGCGCTCCTTCTTCAGACCTGAAACCTCCGCAGCCCCAGGGCCGGCCTGCAGGGGGCGTCTCCTTATTTCTGTCCCCAGACTCCGCACACGTGTTTCCCCGCTCATTTACCAGTCGCTCCCAGAGCCGGCTGCAGAGCCCGGCACATGCCCCAGCCTGACGGACGAGCAGTCCCGATGGGTCTGGGAGGTGTGGGCCGGGGGCATGTGGTGGGCGCCCTGCGCCGGGGCCCTCGAGGGGGGTGGAGGCTCCTTCAGGGCTGCTGTCCCCAAACCAGCTCGCTCGCTTGCTCCCGGCGGGCAGGGCCACGGGGTCACGAGCCCCTCTCCCACCCAGATCTCTCAGCCCCGGTGAATGGCGAGGCCACGTCCCAGAAAGGGGAGAGCGCGGGGGACAAGGAGCAGGAGGAAGGACAGAATTCTGAGGAGGGGCTGGGGTGCGGCTCCTCGGAAGAGCCCTTGCACAACGAGTAAGTATCGCCGGGGGCCGCGGCCACGGGGGCAGCTTCCTGAGAAGGCGCCCACGGCGCGGGCTGCTCGCACCCGCCACCCCTGCCGCTGACCCGTGGGTCCCCCATCCAGGGAGCTGCTCTGGGCCCGGCCTCCCGGGAGGGTGGCTTCCTCCCGTCGCTCCGGGAACGGGCGCGTGGGCTCCTGGGTGCGGACGCCGCCGTGGTGAGGACCCTGGGTCCGCCCTGCGGCCCGGCTGGGGCGGCGGAGGGCGCTCCGGACACGGCCGCGCTCCCCGGGCGCTGGGTCTCTGCTGGCGGTGGAGGGCCGCGTGCTCACCCGCACCCGTGCTGTGTCCCCACCAGCAGTGCGCAGGAGGCCCCCGAGCTGGACGTGCCCGGAAAGGAGCGGCAGGAGCGCTCGAGGGTGCGGATAGCCTCAGAGTCCCTGGACGAGGAGGACAGCTGAGCCCCGGCGGCCAGGCCCACCCGTCGCACGTAGATGCCCCAGGCCTGCCCCGGCCCCCGCCCACCACCCGAGGAGCAGAGACCTGTTGGGGAAGCGCTGTGCTGTCCCTTTGTTTCTGTGCCCTGGGTTGTTTTTCTGCCTAACTTCTGTGATTTCCAACCAACATGAAATGACTATAAAGGGTTTTTTTAATGAAAGTCACTTTTATTGACTTGGTTGTCTAGTGTTGCTGGGGCAGTTGTCCAGGACCCGTCCAGGGACGAAGGATTTAAGCCGTAGCATTCACAGCGAACGTGAACTTGGGTGCGAAGGTGCCCTTGCCTGGCCTGGCCCTGCAGGGCTGACGGTGAGGGAGAGTGGGGGTGCGGGGGTGGGCCTTTATAGAAGTAATAGGGGTTCGAGTGGAGGCTGTGGTCTGACCCTCCTGCGGGCGGCCGCCCAGCACCCAGGCGGGAGCAGGGACCCAGTGGGCGGGCCTGGGCCCAGAGGGTGGAGACCGTGCTTCTCTGTTCCCAGCCAGGCTGCAGGTGGCTCTGGGACCCCCGAGGCAAGATTCAGGGTCCCCAGAAGCAGTAGCTCGGGGCATTCGAGCCATTCAGGCTTGGGGGCCGCTGTGGGCTGGCCAGTGTCCTTGATGTTCCAAGGGTGTGAGCACTGGGGGCAGGACTTGCTCTGTGACCTTGGATGAGTGGCACTCCCACCCCGGGCTTCTCATTCCCAGGCTCACGGGGCCATCACGCGGATTCAGACAGACACCCGCACTGGGCAGTTGCTGGCTAAACAGTGGCGTCCACTGTATGTGACTTACCCTGCCCTGGCCAGGAGCCTCCGTTCCCACCGAGGCCGTGGTCAGGCTGGGACTTCCTGAGCCTGGCGCCCCTCATTTGGTTTGGCTGGACTGGAGCTCCAGCTACTGTGCTCAGCTTGTGTGAATGACCGTGTCCAGCATCTCTTCTTGCGATGACAGGGCGTGAGGGACACCAAGGAAGGACGGGCCCGAGGGGCTTCCTGACCCGTTCCCCGTGTCTCACATGGCCAGCGCCCAGGAGCCTGGCGACCCTTTGGGGGAAGGCTGGTGTCGCGTCCTGGGCTCAGAGCACCGCATCGTGTATGACAAGGGGCTATGGTCCTGGGGCCTGACCGGGGTCGAGGGTGGGATGCGGGTTCTGGGAAGCGGGGTATTCCTTGGCAAGGGTCCCCCCGGCCGGAGGACAGGTGAGGCCGAGGGAGAGCGCGCCTGGCGTCCTGTAGTCCCACGTGCCACCCTGGCGTGGCTGCCCTGGGCATTTGGGGAAGTGTGGCCCAGAAGGACGGGGTGCTGCGTCACAGCTGTTCTCCGGCCTCGACCAAGTGTGGGGCCTACCTGAACGTGCTGAGCACCTGCGGTCACATACCCGCCCCCACCGTCCCAGGGCCCCGTCCCCTGCGGGGAAGCTCTGCTGGTCCTTCTTCAGAGGCCTCAGCCCAGGTGCTTGGAGGGCCACAGAGCATCAGCTCCGGGTAGGCCCAGGTGGGAAGTGGCTGGTTTTATATCCGCCCCCATCCAGTCCTCCAGCCGGCCCGGGGCATAGCCATGGCTGCTGGCTGCCGCAGCTTGACCCTCACAAAGCCCCCTGGCCACACTGAGCGTTGGCAGAGGTGGTAGGAGCCTGCCTCGGGGTGACAGTGGCCTTCTGGTACATTCGGCTGCAACGGAACATGGTTTGCTGAGGGCGTATGCTTCTAGAGCGAGGCTAGAGCCGGGAGCCCAGGAGGGAGGAGCAAGAGAACTGGACGGAACCTTCTAGACTTAGGCACGTGTCCGTTTCTCTTTCTTAATGGGAGTGCTTGCTTGAGATCCTCAGGCAAACACCCTCCGTCAGCGGTCTTAGCAACCCTGGGCCCCCAGACCCGGAGGAGAGGGGTGGACGGTGCGGGCAGGCCTAGAGCCGGGTGTGCGTGGTGCTGCTGAGCTCACGGTCCTCGGTGCCCCCGCTGGGGCGAGGCAGCACAGGGTCCAGACCTTCGGGGAGGGGGAGCCGGTTTGGGGCCGGGGAGGAGGCCCCGCAGAGGGCCCCCGTGGGCCGGGAGCGGCCTACAGCCGCTGCCCGCCGGGCGGCAGGGCGAAGGGCCCCACCAGCCAGCAGAGCGGCGGGCCGTGCTGCACGCTGTCCAGCACCTGCTCCAGCTCTTGCCAGGCCCGGCCCACGCCCTCGTGGCTCCGGGCCAGGCGCTCTGCCGGCAGCTGCTGGACCGAGCTGGCCGAGGAGACCAGGCCGTAGAGCTCACACAGGCTGTGCCGCGCCCGCCCGACACGCTGCTGGAGCTCCTCGGGGAGGCCCTGGAGGCCGGAGGCCAGGGAGCTGTAGGCCACGTGGAGCTGCTGGATGAGGCTGCAGGCCCTGGACAGGGCCCCGGCGTCCGGCACCTGCGGGAGTGGGGAGCGAGGTAAGCAGGGGCGGAGGGAGGAGAGCAGGAGCCTCAGCGTTTGGTTACGCACCTCTTGGGTAGCACCTTCCTCCGCTCTGCTGCTCGGACCCTGGTCTGGAGGTGACTGGCTCTCTGGAGCCCGCTCGGCCTTCTGAATCTAGAAAGAAAGAGACGCCAGCGGAGAAATTACAGCTGGTCCCCTGGGAACGTTTGGGTCTGGCCCTGGAGCCTCACATCTAGACCTTTCCTGGGCATAGTGGAAAAGCCACAAAAAAATAAAATCCTTTAATAAGAAACGAATTAAAAGGTCTCTGAGGTGCCTTACAGAGTCCCCCTCTCTCGTGTCCCACATCCCTGCTTCGGAGGCGCATTCTGAACCGGGTGCCTCTTGCTGCCATGGAAGCCACCCCAGAGGCCCCGCTGTCCATCACGTGCCAGGAGTTTTGCAGGAATCTCCCGGGTCCAGCCCGTTCTCCCATCAGCAGCTAGGGACCCCCTAGAAAAACCTAGGTGGGGTCAGGCCACTCCTCAGTCCTGGGGGGGTTGCTGGGGGGCATCCCTGGTCCCCACCTCCTCCATGCCAGGAGTTCCCCCCCCCCCCCGGTTGTGACAACCACAGACATCCCCACAGATTGCCAAGTGTCCCTGGGAACAGAATCACCCCCCCAGGGGACACTTCTAGGTTAAGGGGTTCCACTGGCCCCCAGGAGCCTTTACATTATGTTGACCACCTCTCACCTGCTGGGGTCATGGGAGGCTGCACACACAGGGCAGTGACTTACAGACCTTGAGGTCACCCTGGGTGGTGCCGTCTAACCGCTTGGAGATGCATTCTGGTGTCTGGGGTGAGCACGGCTTTACTCGTTATTTTTCCCCCATAATTAACCCTGGCTTTCCCCTCCGCGGCACTGCTAACACTGGCACTGGTTCTGGATCATTCTGTGTGCTGTACTATTGGTGTCCTGGGCACTGGGGGTGGGGGTGGGGGGCTGAGCAGCATCCCTGACCCCACCCACTCAAGGCCAGGAGCACCATTTCCTGCAGTTGTGACAGCCACAGATGTCCCCAGACATGGCCCAGTGTCCCAGGGGCCTGTTCACTCGTGTGGAGATCCCGCTGGATCGGACCCGCGGTCTTCGTGCTGTGGCCCACCAGAGACCATGGGGCACCGACTGAAATCACAGTTGTGTGGGTGTAGCCTGGGAATCTGGATTCAGGCAGCATTGCTGAGTTGTTCACTGCATGTGTATCTAAACATCTAAGAGCCATGACCTTGGAGACCGGGAGGTCCTCAGAGCTGGGGGACCCTCGCCGTCTGCACTGGCCACAGGGGGCCGCCGCTGGACTGGGCTCAGCTCCGCCTCTGGCACAGAGCAGGAGCCGACACGTTAGCTGTCCACCGTGGAGAAGCCTCCGTGGGGCTCAGTAGATGCCCGTCGGGTCACCACACGTGGATGGGGGAGCGTGGGGAGGGGAAGGCTCTTACCAGCTTGAAGGCGTCCTCCAGCTGGGCCAGCGCGGCCCTGGCCTGGAACTGGCCGTGTTGCAGGTGGCTCAGGGCGTGCTCAAAAGCCCGCTGGCGGAAGCCGGGGGCCAGGTCGCCCAGACGCACAAAGTAGCTGCGCTCGTCGGCCGTGAGCACCCTTGGCTCAGGCTCGGAGGCGGCAAGCTGGGCTGCAGGGAAGAGGGGGTCACTGGATCCGAGAGGCCCCGGGCTTGGGTTTTACAGAAGTCCAGCCCCGTGGGAGGTGGGCCGGCCATGCCGTTCTTACCTTGCTCCTCGGCATCCAGGGGCTGGAAGACATCCCCCAACTCCCTCAGCTCGTCCCGGAGTGTCGCGAAGCTCGTGGGTCCTTCATGGCCATGCGCGGGGGCCACGCGCCCCGCATCCTCCCTGCCCAGGGTGGCCCCCTGGGGACGTGTTGCTTCAGCGGTGGCTTCCCGGACAAGGTCCAGGCCTGCACCAAGTGTGTCCGGGGCGCTGGATACTCCGGGGGACAGAGCTTCCCCTCCTTTGCGGGGGGCACTGGAACTGGTGAGTCCACCCCACACAGAGTCCCGGGTGCCAGGTAACCAGTTCTGGATGGTGCCGAGACCAGTCTGCACTGCCCCCTTGACCACGTTCCCTGCCCCTGTCACCCCAGCGGACACTGTGTCTTTGGTGCCTGTGACAATATTCTTGGTGGTGTCCAGGCCGGTCTGGACGGTGCCCTTGGCCATGGTCACTGCCCCTGTAACCCCAGCGGACACGGTGTCTTTGGTGCCTGTGACAATATTCTTGGTGGTTTCCAGGCCGGTCTGGACGGTGCCCTTGGCCATGCCCAGTGCACCTGTGAGCCCAGTAGATAGGGTGTCCTTGGTGCCCGTCAGGACGGTCTTTGAAGTGTCCAGGCTGGTCTGGACAGCCCCTTTGGCCACATTCATGGCTCCAGTCACCCCACTGCACACGGTGTCCTTGGTGCCTGTAAGGACGGTCTTTGAAGTGTCCAGGCCGGTCTGGACGGTGCCCTTGGCCATGCCCAGTGCACCTGTGAGCCCAGTAGATAGGGTGTCCTTGGTGCCCGTGAGGAT